GGCGCGTAAGGCTGACAGTCTTACCGCCATCTGTGAGATGATTGTCTAGAAAATGTGGGAGCCTCAACATATCACACCCCTATGGGCCTTCACGGCCTGTTACAGGGATAGCTTTACATTTTCTTAATAATGCTAGGTGAGACCATAAATTGTTACTTTCTCGTTAAACTGTTTTCCCTTGGCCCTTATTACGTCTACTGCCACGTCATATTTCTTAGCAAATTTCTCAGCTATAGTACCTGTCACTAAGTCGTTATGCAAGCAACATTAATGTCCTACTTCATTATGTTTTCCTTTCCTTAGTCCAGCCCATTAGGGATACTAACTCCCGACGTCTTATTTTAATCGCCGAGATGTGATAAAAATCCACAGGTGAGTGGCCACTGACCCTTGCAACCAGCGTCAGTTTTAGAGAGTCAGCGTTTCGTCTGAATACCAGAGGAAAAGAAATAACTTGGGTGACCTAAGCGTAGATATGAGGATAATACTGAAATTCATCTTGAAGAAATGTTATATAAGAGTGTGGACTGGATTCATCTGGCTCAGGACAGAGTCCTGAGCACGATAATGAACCTTCGGGCTTCATAAAAACCGGTGATTTCTCGACCAGTTGATCAACTATTGGTTTCTCAAAGATCAGTTGGGTTCTATTTTACTTTCAAACCCTTTTATTGCTGTAGTACTCCTAGATGCATATCACAATGGCCGCGCGGCCTAAGGCATGAACTGTCTTCGCTCGCTCGAACGCTGGGGTCGTAGGTTCGAATCCCAGTAGAGGCATGGATATCTGTGTGCGTTTATTTGTGTTTGTATTGTTCTATGTGTAGATAGCGGCCTTGCGACGGGCTGATCCCCCGTATAAAGAGGTCCTACCGAATGTGTACAGAATTAAGAATCTGAAAAAGCGGTCAAGCTCCAACAAAGGGCCACAGAAACACAAATAGATAGAGAGATAGATACATAGATAGAGACAGATAGACGGAAGGACGGACGGACAGACAGACAGAGAGATAGACAGATATACGGAAGGATGGACAGACAGATAGATAGACGGAAGGACGAACAGACAGACAGACAGATAGATAGATAGATAGATAGATAGATAGATAGATAGTTAGATAGATAGATAGATAGATAGACGGAAGGACGGACAGATAGATAGTATTCCTGGATTTTCGGTGGGGCATAAGTAACCCTGGCCGGTCACGGTAGCCGAGCGGTCTAAGGCATGTACTGTCTTCGCTCACTTGGAAACCGGGATCGTGGGTTCGAATCCCACTCAGGGTATGGACGTTTAGTTTTTGTGTGTGTGTGTGCGTTTTTCTGTGTTTGTGTACAGGTAGCGGCCTTGCGACGAGCTGATCACCCGCCCAAGGAGTCCTACCGAATGTGTAAGATCTAGAAAAACCGAAGTGAACGGAAGTTGATGGAGGTAGGCCTAGGCCCATTGGGGCTGTAGTGCCAAGGGGAAAAATAGTAACCCTGAAGTGGGGTTGTTATTATATATGCCACCTGCTCGAACAATCTACAACTCTGCAATTTGTACATAGAGTGTATTTGTTCCCCATGGTTCCCACAATAAACAGCGGTTGTTTCCCCAAGCAGCATTAACCGGTTGGGCTTTGTAGTGGAGATATGCTCCCTGTGAGATACAAACTGAATTTTATATATTATTTAGAACAAATTCAGTCCTTAAATGGCTAATGAAGGAATATTAATGACATTTTCACGGTTTCCCCCATGGCATTTCAACTTACGAATCCGAGAAAGCGAAAGAAAATTTCTTCCTCGTGAGTTTGCACCCGGATTCGACGTAGAAAGCTGTAAAGTGACAGCATAATTAGTTGGCGATTGGTTAACTCATTACACGGTTTGTCGATGTTGCAGTACATGCTAACGAAAGTGCACGAGATTGAATTCATTAGAGTCCGAGTCGGAGGACGTGCCTTGTCTACATAAATCAGACGATTCACACAGACCAAGTGAATGGACCACTACTGCACAGTACAGAAAAAGAATCCCAGTAACCGCAGCAGTGCGTGCCAACTCAATTTAAAAGTAGTGGAACACACCATTAGTTGGTTACTGACCCTCAGGAATTACCTTGTTTACAAACCTCTTCATAGTTAGACGTACACAGACAGGCCGTACATCAGACTATACATATGAATGCGGCCTTCTGCACAAGACATTTGGCTGTGAACTGAATACACGACTTCATCTGCATTTGTATTAACTCCCATTTAAACAGATTTCACGTTTATATTGCTGTAGGGTTTATGAAGACAAATTCGGAGTTATTCTTATTCTCATTAGAGGCCGCGCCATAGCTCAAGCGGTTAGTCGCTGGCTTCCCACCGCGGCGGCCCGGGTTCGATCCTGGGTCTGGTCAAGTGGGATTTGTGGTGGATAAAGTGGCGCTGGGGTAGGTTTTCTCGGAGTACTACGGTTTCCCCTGCCAATCTTCATTCCACCCATTGCTCCACAATCACCCTCACCTATCATCTGGGGCTGGTGCAATAGGCCAGAAGTGGCCGCAGTACTAGCAATAAAAAATTATTCGCATTAGAGATCAAACTTAGAACTAAGCCACATAATTCGCAAAGTCTTTCTTTCTTCCTCTTAGAAAACTTCTCGTTATCTTTTAACGATGTAATCACAATTGCAGAATAAGTGTGAATATTACTGTGATTTCCACGCCGATTTAACTTATATCTGATATCATTCTAGAAATTATAGTATATATGTCTTCGTCCTAAGTTTTACGTACATGGAATGTGAGAACAAACAATTGATTTTCTGAGTATGTCTGCTGGTTCAATGTTTCTTTTTTCCAATAAGACTGATTTTCGCTACATATATATATGAAGAATGCCGTCTTCTGGGACGTGGCGCTCCGACGGTTCGGAGGAACTTCAGTTCATACAGGATCTACACGGCGCCACATCCCAGAAAATGTGCATTCTTCATAGTCACCGCCGTGAAAACCTTAAATATTACATCTTATCTACAAATATTTCTGAATATCCAAGTTTCAAATCTAATGCCTTTTGTTACTTCAACATTTTAAACATTTTATTTAAGCACAAAACTTTTGAAATCTCCTTTAATATTTTGTAACTTCCTTGGAAGTTAGATTCTAAATGGTTCTGGCGATGGTGTATGACAGTATGGAGTACTGGGATTTTGAACTTTGTTTATAGTCCAGTATTATAAAGAACACTAAAAATTAATTGGGGTTACTTCTTTCTAACGGAACCAACAGTGTGTCTCCCACCCTCACACCTCAGGACGGAAATTCATCCAGTTTCCGAAACGTTGTGTTCTTTAGTGTTATTTGGAATACAGGACGATGGACAAAGACCAAAATCCCAATAACCCCGAATTCCCTGAGAATGGACACTTATGACCGAAATATGTCAGTGTGTTAATAATATTGTGGCGTGCCGTGAGGAAGGCTGGACTGTAGAAAGTCCATTGCCGGTCAACGGCTAGTAAATTCTAGGTAACGGCCTGTTTATGTTTTGTTGCCTAGGAATTGCTAGCCGTTGACCAGCAATGGACGTTCTACAGTCCGGAGTTCCTCGCGGTACTCCACAATATTTAATCAGGATAAGAAATTAAACTACACATACTCAGAAGGTAACTTTACATATTATTTTATATAAACAGAATACCGGTAAAACAGAGCCTATCAATCTAATGTCCTTTTCGTTGCTCGGGTCGGGCAAAACAATCCGCCCTCAAGCTCTGAATAACGTTTCGTAACACGCTGGGTTTGAAGGCGAGAAGTTGGTCGACAGACAGCCCGCCCTCCTTACCCTATCTGGACGTGAGTTCCTCCATTTGCAACCAGCAGGCATGCCGCCCTCTGGTGACAACGGACGGAATTAATACGTCGAAATTATTGAGGATGAAACATTTAAGGAAATAACAAGCAAGGGCTCTGGTCAAGTCAGTCTGCCTGTTCATTAACGTATTTTCTACATAATTTATATGTAATATAACGTTAACGTTATAATGAGGAGCTTCATAACTTGTACTCTTCTCCAAACATGATCAGAATGATCAAGTCAAGGAGGATGAGGTGGGCTGGGCATGTAGCACGAACGGGGGGAAGAGGAATGCATATAGGATATTGGTAGGAAAGCCAGAAGGAAAGAGACCACTGGGAAGGCCAAGGCGTAGGTGGGTCGACAATATTAAAACGGATCTTAGAGAGATAGGATTGGATGGATTAATTCGACTCAGGATAGGGACTAGTGGAGGGCTCTTGTGAACAAGGTAATAAACCTTCGGATTTCATAAAATGGTGAGAATTTCTTGAGTAGCTGCAGAATTGGCGGCTCCTCAAGAAGGGTTCAGCTCCAAGAGTAAATAAGTAAGATAGTTTTTGTTTATGAAACATAATTTTAAATCAATTTTCGCAGTCTTCTCCGTGCCGAAGACATTTTCCATCAAAGTAAGGTTCCTGTTCTCCAACTTCTGTTTTATGCATGTGTTTCATTTCCACCCGCGTCCGCATATTTTTCAGGAATATATGATATGATTATGAGAGTACTTGTGTCTATGTAATTAATTTTTTAATTCGCACAGTGGGAGGTGGAGTCCAGATGGGTCCACTCAGCGCGCCGACCACTGAACGACCTATTGTACCTGCCCCGGGTGATTATGATGGGAAATTTGGTGGAATTAAGATTGGCAGGGGAAACCGAAGTATTCGCAGAAAACCTTTCCCAGCGCCACTCTGTCCACCACAAATCCCACTTAACTAGACTCCAGGCTCGAAACCGGGCCCCCGCTTTGGGAAGTCAGCGACTAACCGCTTGAGCTACGGCTCGACCTTGTGTCTATGTATATCCTACAGTATTTTTTCGTTGTCTGAATTGATTTGAGAACAGCCTACTGCTTGCTCTGCTCCAGCGCCTTCCAGGATTCCAGTTCTTAGACGCTGCCTGCCACATGAGTAAGAATATTATGTTCTGTTACTTTCATTTCAGGCTTACGTGTCCTGTGCACTGGGGATACATAACGTGGGCTACGTCATGATCTGTTTCGGTGTGGTGAATGCCATCTGCTCAGTTATATTCGGGTCTATCATGAAATTCATCGGTCGGGTGCCCATAATGGTTCTCGGTGTCGTGGTCCACGCATGTCTGGTAGTTGTCTTGCTATTCTGGAGGCCGCATCCAAGTTCTCCTCTCGTATTCTTCGCCATTTCCGGTCTGTGGGGAGTTGGAGATGCAGTTTGGCAAACACAAGTGAATGGTAAGTAATATTATTAGTTAACTGACACTGTGATGGCGGAAATCAAATGTTCAACGCCGCTAATATTAAACCTCGTCATTAGGAATTATCTTGAACCAGTTACATCCACCTCCATAATCAAAACCAATCCATAATACACAGTCACAATACTGTGACATGATGGATGAAAGCCGGAATAGCAAACTCAGAAAATACATCCTCTGCTAGGCAACGACATGGTAAACACGTTTCGGCAGTAACGATCAGCAGCGCAGCAAAGGAAATGTTGGAAGTTGTGCTTTCTATGCGATCTGTGCCGAGGCTGTATAAATAGAACCAACGGAAAGTGAGTTAGTTGCAGTCGGGAGTCGGAGGTTGGTGAGTGGTTAGCGGCTGGGAGGTTCCAGCCCGCAAGGGTTCCATTACTGGGAGCCGTAACCAAGCAACGCCTAGTGAAGATTATAACAAACTTAGAATACTTGTGTGTTATCGAGATTTGTGCAGTGTAGTCATGAGTTAAAATAGTCCAGTAAATCCAAATGCCAACCCGAAACCCATTTACAGTCACTAACACTTGACAGTATCATAATCTGGAATTCGCATGCATACCTTGCTGACAAGGGCTGGTCATGCGTAACGGTTTCAAAATATTTGGAAATTTTATTTAAAATTGAAACAGATATATATCTTGTCACATGTGCATTATTACCCTTCTGTCACAACAGCTGCCTGTTCCACGAAAAATGAAAACTCCCTTTTAGTTAACGGAAATCCAAAGTGTAATTTAAGAGGCAGTAAAAATCTCTCCAAAAAAAACAGCCTGAAATAACAGATACCTATTTGACAGCACCTCGAGCTCGGATGACTAATCTCAGGTTTAACGTCACAGTGAGATATATGGGAAACGCTGAGAAAATCGGAATTAGTCACATAAAAATCATTTCAAATATGAACGAAATATAAATAGGGTAATTACCTGAAAATGTTTCTGTAATAAGTTTTTTCCCTTGGCACTACAGCCCCAGTGGGCCTAGGCCTACCTCCATGAACTTCTCCGTTCACTTCGGTTTTTCTAGATCTTACACATTCGGTAGGTCTCCTTGGGCGGGTGATCAGATCGTCGCAAGGCCTCTACCTGTACACAAACACAGAAAAACGCACACACACAAAATAAACATCCTTGCCCTGAGTGGGATTGGAACCCACGATCCCGGTTTCCAAGCGAGCGAAGACAGTTCATGCCTTAGACCGCTCGGCTACCGTGACCGGCGTAATAAGTTTAGATTGCGTAATAACATTGTCTCCTACTTCTGTGCGTATGTAACAGAATGGTTCTTCTTTAAATATGACAAGGAATAATAATAATATGAAAATTAAGTCAATCCGGTTTTTTATTTGAGTGCTCGCCAACAGCAAGAATACTGCAACAGGCGAGCACTAAAGCATCGATATGTTATAGTTTGGAACAAGAAGTTATGAAGTTTAAACGATTTAAAACTGAGTCATATCACGAGAATAGTCGGTCTGATTAAGCCGATTGTAATATAATTTGCTATTTATTTAGTTCATTAGAATCTTCCAAAATAAGATTATTCCATGAGATAGACGCATAATCAGGCTTTGATCAAATTAAGGAAATATATAAAACCATTATACTATTAAGAGAATAATGATAAGTCAGTAATTACATTTACATACTTGTATGATCACGCACATAACTTGATTATGAAATTCGACACAAAATTTCGTAGCTTTATATCGCACTGGGTCCTGAACCCAAGTTCCAATGGTCATGTAACTGAACTTCTTAAATTAATGACAGATAATGATAAATAATGATAAAGTAAGTAAACGTAAAGCTATCCCTGTACCAGGCCGTGAAGGCCCATAGGGTTGTGAGACGTTGAGGGTCCCACATTATCTAGACAATCGGCTCAAAGACGGCGGTAAGGTTGTCAGCCTTACGCGCCGGCCGCGCTTTACTCCCCAGGAAAATGATTTAATTAATTCCTGGTACTCATTTCTTTTAGAGGCCGAGTCGACCCCAGAGCCATATTGCGGCTGGAAGGATTAAGTCAATTGAAAAAAATCCAATGAACTCATCGAGACTTGAACCCGCAACCTTCCGGCTTGTAGCATAGCTACCGCGTGCCTGAAATGCAAACTGTTCTGAGCCATTAACTAGGAACAATTTCAGCGCTGCTTTCAAATGTGTATCTGTTAAGTTGAACATCGAGAGGTGATTAATGTCAGGCACATGAAAAACGCCTTGTGCTAAATGCAGTGAATCTCACTTTCTCCTTACACGATAGGGAAAGGCTTGTCGTGCACACTATGCCAGCTTTATTCACTCTTAATATTGCTGACTAGCGAAAGCGCCCATTCCTCACCCCAGTTGTTATCAATAAAAAGTACACGGAATTGCTTACTTCTGAGAATATATTCCAGTTCAGGAGTTCTGTCTTCTGGGATGTAACGCAGTGAAAGTCGCCCGACGTTTCATAATAACAGCCTCCATTTGTAGGGTCGAAGTGTAAGCCAAGAAAACAGCATAAAGCTGGCAGCAAGACACACTGAGCTGTGCATGTAACTAAAATGGGGGAAACAAGAAGTGCAAACAATATTTTGGTGGAGAACTCCTGTAGAACTCGTTCATCTGGAAGACCGAGAAGGTAATGTGAGGATATTATTAGAATTGTGAGAATGGGGAGGGGAAGCGTCTGGTTTCGGATTGTGTTTAATAGTGGGTTTTGTTATGAGTAATCTGAAACTCTGGGTTCTGCACAAAGCAAGACAGGGCAGGGCAGGACATTGCAGGGCAGCAATTTGCTGATGGGCTTCGCCAGCACAGCCACTTGCTTTACGGCTCCGTCGGGACTTGTGGCCATAATATTTTTATTTCCGGGACCATTTACGTGTTTTGAAATTGAGTCTCCTTTTCGACAATGATTTGTATTGTGACATGATGACTGAAAGCCGGAATGGAGGAAGACGTAAAGATATCCATTGCTAAATAACAGGGCTGTAAACACGTTACCGTGGCAACGGAGGCTGTCGCAACAGTGGAGGAATTGGTGAAGAAGAAACGCGAAACAATATAATTGCTAGAAGCGGTGTTTTCTATCAAGTCAAAGTCACATTGCGACTGTCAGTCAGTCACTAAGTCTTGGTGTCGACAGATATTTATTAATATTTGACAGTTACCGTCTTGTTTTTGTGGGGCGGCCTCTCTGGCGAGAGACGGATCTGTCATTTGTACATGCTGTTGGCTCTAGCCAGGGTCCCAGTCCCTTGGGACTCGCGATCATTTTTGTTAGTGTCTCAGATTTGAGACTTCCTTTTTCGTCGCCTCCTACGACTCGCAGGGTCAAGGTTGAGGAACTGACCCCGCCTCCACACGGGTAGTCCGGTGTTTTCTATGCAGTTCACCCTCAGGCTATATACCGCGGACCGAAATGGAGCTGCAGTCAGTGGCTAGCACTCGAGATTGTGAGCCTGCACGCAATCAGTACTACCCAGTGATGGTCAGACACGATTACGAGGCAGACAATGACCAGGGGTTGTGGCTATGAAGACTTACAGACGGGCGCAAGCCAGCGAGGACCAGAACCGTGGAACACGGAAGTCGAGAAATCTAAGAAATCTATAGCGATGAGAGCCGTTAGTAAGCAACTACTGGTGAAGATATAGCAGACTGAGAAGACGTAGTGAGCGCTGTAGTGAATTGTAGAACGCGTGAATTCGCGATAGCGCTGTAACTAATTGTAGTTACAGTTTGTAAGAGCCCAATAAATAAGTCACCGAACCAAAACCCGTGTCTAATTACTAACACGTGACAGTATAATTATATCTATTAGAAACGGCCCTGTGACAGAACATTGAAGACCACTAAAGACTAAACTGAAAGCGGTGCCTTTTGTCTTGACTCGGAAATTTGAATCTTGATGTGCAATATCCCTATGACATGTAAGTTAAATTCAGACATATGCATAATCTTGCAAACGTAAATGTCAGGTGATTTATCACATTCAAAATTAACCTCTTGATCACCTTCACCGAGTAACACTTGTTTCTTTTTATAAAGTTTGCCCACCCCACTTGCCGTCTCGAGGTGGCTAGTTCAAAATTTGACGTGACCTCAGGTCACGTAAAAGTTGCTAGTCCTCAGTCACTGGTGACGTCACGTGGAGAAACCAGCCATATACATACATACATTTACTAATGCATAAAGAAATTCAAGATGGATATCTTATGTGTAGGTTTTAGGTTATCACTGAGGTCTGGATTATTCGGGTTTTGGACTTGTCCATTCACCGATGTTCTAAAGAACACGACGTTTCGGAAACTGGATCTGTTTCCGTCCTCAGGTGAGGGAGGTGGAGGGCACCTACTGTGTTGGGTGTCAATAACTGGGGCTGGATGATGGACAAACTCCAAAAACTCAGCAATCCCGAGTGTTATCCGCCATCGCCAGAATCCTATACAATCTATCACAGCGGTGGTTCTGAAGAGTTCTGTCTTCTGGGATATAACGCCGAGTATTCCGTTGAAAATCAACCGAGGTTTTCGGGGGAACATTCCGCCTCCAGCTTGTGGGCCGAAGAGTAAGACAAGCAAGAAACCTGTTCCATACTTCACGTTTCTTTCTTGCTTGGCTGGAAGGTGGAGATAACATGATCCTTCGAAACGTCGCTTTACTAACATCGAAATACTCCGGCTTTATATCCCAAAGAAAAGGTAAAGCTATCCCTGTAACAGGCCGTGGAGGCCCATAGGGACGTGAGACGTCGAGGCTCCCACATTTTCTAGACAATCGGCTCACAGATGGCGGTAAGACTGTCAGCCTTAAGCGCCGGTCGCCTTTTAACTCCACGAATATTCCTGGTACTCATTTCTGTTATAGACTGAGTCGATCCCCTGGCCATAGTGCGGCTGGAAGGACTGAGTCAAGTGAAAAAATCCACTTCATCGGGATTCGATTCCCCGACTTTCCGGCTTGTAGCATAGTGCCTCAACCAACTACGCTACCGCATGCCCCTATCCAAAAGAAACAAATGTTTATATTTTAGGTATTTATGGTGAAGGGAAGACTAAATGTTAAAAAACCAGAGGATCTACGGCCAGGGAAAAGATATTTGTCAACAGCCGAGACATACAGCTTCTAGGATTACAATGCCTGAAATGTTATACAATTCCTNCCATCGTCAGAATCCTTTCAAGTCCAACAGTTCCTTATGTTGTACTGTATGGAAATACCTGTACCATAGAGCTATCAAGTTTCGAAACAAAACACCGAATTCTACAGACGATGAGCATAAATCCGTTTCTTTGAAATTCATATTTAAAAAAAAAACTTCATCATTTGAAAACCAAGGTCTGCAGAATTATTTCTAAGAAAGTCCCTTGAACTACGAGTCACACCTTTTTGGGCGGGAACAACAGACTTTCAGATGAAGCGTAATGGAGTGCCTGTTTTGTGATCACTAGGGTCGAATACCTTCAGTATCGTTTAAACAAAAGTGGAACGTTTGAAAAAGGCACTTTTAAAATGTCCTCTTCGCCACATATCATTACGCCTTTCAAATAAAGGATGATTGGTGGAACATATAGCACTTATGACAAGATTAGAAATTTAACATAAAACTGTAGTCGCAAAACCTGAAAGGTGCCAATCACCTGGAGAACCTAAATGTTTATCGGATGATAATATTAAAATGTATATTAACATTGTGGTGCACAATGAAATTAAAATGGATCTCAGAGAGATAGGATGGGATGGTATGGATTGCATTGTTATGGCTCAGGATAGGGACCAGTGGAGGGCTCTTATGAACACGGCAATGAACCATCAGGTGCCATAAAATGCTGGGAAGTTCTTGAGTGGCTGCACAACTGGCAGCTTCTCAAGAAGGGCTCAGCTCCATGAGTGAGGGAGGGTACATACTGGATTCATCCGGCTCTTATGAGTAGATTAGACGTAAAACTTCTTAACCGTCTGAGTGTCAGCTATTCAGTAACTTCTCGTCTGCACACGGACAACCAAAATGAAACACTTTAATTTTAAGAGCACAGAATTGTACCACGCAGACTGGCTGCGCTACGGGAATTGTTTGTAAGAGGATTAAAGCCAAATTATTTTTAGTTACTGATGACTTAATACCAAAAGCAATTTTTTTCGACTATTTACTTGAATGTTTAATTTGGACTCCTGCAATATTCAATTGTCACTGAAGGCATATGGAGTGATTATCGATCTCAAAATCTTCCCAGTTATTTTAGTCTTTCGATGAAAACAAAAATCTGTAATCATTCCTTCTGTTTTATGACCCAGGTGAGTCATATGCTTAGCTTTTCAACAAGTGTTACGCATCGCACATACAGCACGTTACTGACATTCTTTCATTTGCACTATACACAAGTCCTCTGCCAGTCCAGGCTTTACAAAGCAGATCACGCCTATCTTTACGTGTCTTATGTTACAACGGCAGCTTAATTACTTGAACGGCCGTAACCTTGAGCCCCGCCAAGTTTAAACCTCTTATATTTTCTATATCTGGCTTCGCCTTGTCGTAATGTTGACTGTGATGCCGTGTATAGTGCCAGAACTCAAAGTCAAAGTCAAAGTCAAAGACACATTGCGACTGACGGTCAGTCAGTCAGTAAGTCTTGGTGTCGAGCCCCATCTGGGTCTCATGACCAGATACTTATTTCTGTTTGACATTTGCGGTCTTGCTTTTGTAGGGCGCCCTCTCTGACGAGAGGACGGGTCTGTCTTCTATATATGCTGCCGGCCCTTGCCAGCGCAGTCTTTCTCCGGTCCGAGTCCCTTGAGACTCGCGACCATATTTTACTGTCTCAGATTTGAGACTTCCCTTTTCGTCGCCTCCTACGACTCGCAGAACTCTCAAATTAGATTTCGTTACATAGCCTCGGGGCGGACTCAACAGAGAACACTCCTTCCAGCGGCTTTTCTATTGTTGCTTGTGCATATCCGTTACCAAAGAGACGTGTTTACAGAGCCATTGCGTCACTTCTGTTGAAGAGTAAGGAACACGCGGCTTTTCTACAGTCTGTCTGCTGAACAAATGCACTGTAATTCAGAATATAATTGTGGGGATTTAGAAACATGGGCATCATTCTTATACACCACGGATTAAGCCATATTGAAATGGTTCGAGTTCTGATTCTATCGATATCCTCTAGTCACTGTTTTCAGCAGCTGTCATTGTTGTTTGAAATATATATCTTCAAATATAGAACAACTCACTAGAAATTAAAATTTAAAATCGACCTATTTATTTTGAAGCATCATCCGAAATGCAAAAAACAAAAGAGGCATTAGAAGTGGGTTATTTTCCTTATCACGTTTATCTTCTCCAGTTCTCCACTCTTTAGAATATACTGTACCTCTATTTAGATGATAATGTTCCGTTCTTTACACTCTGATAACTATAACATTAAAAAATTAAAGCCAGCGTGCTTTTAGAATTTAATATTATTATATGTAACTGATATCCGGTCTAGAAAACCGAAATTAACGGCCGTGGGGATTCGTTGCGCTGACCACGCGACACCCTCTATCCGCTAAAGTTGGCACTAACTTCGCCGACAAGCAGCGGTCGCTCGGTCGGTATAATTCGCTTGCGGACTAAAGCCACGGAGTTACTTTGTATGTAAATGTAACTGATAATCCGAAAACCCGGACAATCTTCGTGTCTGAGTGGCCTCAGCCACTCATCCTCTACATAGTCATACTTTACGGTTAGGCATTTTCTTTCTGTATAAGCGAATAAACAAAGGCTCGGGCCATACACTGAGGGACGGGAATGGGGAATTATATGTCCTCTGCTGTTTCTTTTTTTTAATTTGGGCACAATCTAGTATTCCGAACATAAAATGTTTCGGAACCTGGATCTGTTTCCCATAATCATGTAAAATAATACGTATTTCCTGTCCGAATCTCCGGTGTTGCGTGATTGTAAATTGCATGTTTATAATCTAAGTGACCAATGTCATGACTTATGCTGACATGCAAAATATATATATAAAGGTAAAGTTATCCCTGTAACAGGCCGTGAAGGTCCATAGGACTGTGAGAGGTTGGGGCTCCCACATTTTCTCTGAGACAGTCGGCTCACAGATGGCAGTGAGATTGTCTGTCCCCGCCCTTTACCCCCGAGGAAGATTCCCGGTACTAAGTTCTGTTAGAGGCTGGGTCGAACTCAGAGCCATAGTGCGGTGGGAAGGATTAGATCAATTGAAGAAAAAAAATTCACCTCATCGGGACTCGACCCCCGACGTTCCGGCTTGTAGCATAGTGCCTCAACCAACCGTGTACCCCATATACTCATATATATAGAAACTTCAATTTACTGTTAACATTAGTGAAAATTATGGTTTTCTTTAATTGTACGCTGCAAACCCTCGACACAGAGGGTGGAGTCACAACTAATTCTAAGCGGGATCGCCAAGTTCTCAAGAATAATTTCGAAAATACAGTACAATCCACGCAGAGTTTTGGCAAGTCAACAATACAGGAAGATTTAATACTGGTGCTTTAGGAAAACGCAATGTAGCCGGAGAAATATTTCGAGAGTATTTTTCGTAACTGTACAGGAACATTTTATAATTGACTATGGGTGCAGATGGCACGCTGTAGTGTAGTTGGTTGAGGCACTATGCTACAAGCCTGAAGGTCGCAGGATCGATTCGATGAGGTCACTGGATTTTTCAATTGATCTAATCCTTCCAGCCGCACTATGGCTTTGGGGTCGACTCAGCCTCTAACAGAAATGAGTACCAGGAATATTCCTGGGGCTAAAGGGCTGCAGGCTCGTAAGGCTGACAACCTCACCGCCATCTGTCCCTGTTACAGGGACAGCTTTACTATGGGTGCATAGAAACTGAGCAGCTTAGCAGCTGTTCATATACCTGCTAATTCATTACGATATGTCATAGCCAATTCTGTCTCAACAGAATACTATTGTGCCTGTCAATGGGGTGAGCGCAAGCACATGATAAAGTCAACTGATTAACCCTTAAATTCAGAATAAAGCGCTAATGAAATGACACTGCTTGTTCTAGGGATCTACGGGACGCTGTTCCGACGGAACAAGGAGGCCGCGTTCAGTAACTACCGACTGTGGGAGTCTGCAGGTTTCGTCACTGCGTATGCGTACAGCACGCACTTGTGTGCGCGCATGAAGTTGTATGTCATGCTTGCAGTCCTGCTGGTTGGGTTTGCGGGCTACATCGTCGTCGAGATCCTACACAAGAGGAAGGCTCTACGAAGGAAGAAGCTAGCAGAGGATCCAAAGGCAGCTGCCGCAGCGGCTGCAGAACTGGCTAAACAAAACAAAACTGAGGAAACAGATGACGAAAAGGATGATATTGACGATGATATAATAATTACTCATCTATAACAGAACTCACAACTCCATAATCGTGTTTTTAAGTTCAAAAGGAAGCGAAATGGGTTTAGGAGTGAAATCATGAGTGCCAGATCTCTTGGTGCAATGTACTGACAGAAACTTCTTTTGTCATGTTGAACGAGAGTAGAGTTCCTAAGAGTGGTTGGTCATAGTGCAGCTTCGCAGGTTGAATGTTTGCACGAGGAAATACAGGACAGCGTCGGTACTATCAAGAAGAGGTTAAATGCTCCAACACACGATAAGTAAAAGTGTAAACGCGGAAGTTTATCTGTCTGACCTTCAGGTGAACCGGTTTCGCTGGCCGAGCTGAAGACAGATCTTTGTCTGGATGGTTCCGTTGCAGGAGAAAGACTTCAGTCCAATAGCCTTCTCCTCCAGAAGAAAATAACAACACTCCCAGGAACAGGGAGAGGCCGTTTAGAACAAAGTACAGTAAGAAGAGACACGTCAGAATAGAGTCATTACAGTAACATATGGTTTATTGCATATCGGGTAGTACAACGCGAGGTACAAAATATACTCTACACTGTTAAGTAAGACCGTCTCACTCAGCACACAACTCAGTATGGTTACTTGCTTTTCTGGTCGTGGCGCTAATGTGCGAGAAAAACAAGTTATAGCTTTTGCGTTTGATTGGAGACTTGAATTGTTGCGTAGGTTCTTTAATACCCAGCCATAGCTCTTATTTAGCAGCACATCTTCACACGGAAACATATCTCCCTTTTCTTCCGTTTAGGATAGATGAGGCTTTGAAAAATCTGTTCTTTTGTACCCCAGGTTTCATACTAGTCAGATAACAGTAGTGAACATTATTTTTGTGCTCTTCTTGTGTTATATTCAAGGAACCGCTACAGCAGATAATATTAAAATGCACTGATTCAGTGCCTTATGGTCTTATGTTCAGTGAAGCTCAAAGAGTAAGGTTATATTATACGGTTTCCTTAGAAAATAATTCTGCACATACTGGTCGAGGGTACTGTGCAATCAGTAATATTGACGTACTATTTCACTCCTATTTCTTGGAACGCTCAATGCATTCAACATTGTAATGAAGTCGATATAGTGAGATTAACCTGTCTTCCAACTGCTAAGGAGTAGGAACCGATTGTAAAGCCTCAGGCTGCAGTATAAGTAATGTGATGTTTTAAATTGTTCAATAAATTTGAGTTTGTTTTTATAAAAAAATTACTGGCATTCAAAAACTGAATTACAATAACGTAACTGTAATCTAGTGTTTTCTAGATAGAGAAGGCGAAATCACGTGCAGTGGCCCGGTGAATTAGCAGGACTCAAAGTCAGTTTTGCACACAACACAGCTTAGCACTGTCACAAAGACATTTAGGGAACATTGTACGAACCATATTGCATAACTCAACTGTAGATCCACTCCTGCAATTAAACCACAAAATCCTTCTAGTTAAGCTCCATATCAGAATTTCGAAAATGTTAAAATCGAAATTGATGAGACACATAAGGCAGGCTAAGAGAAAGTTTGACAAAATTTACAATTATTAGCTATAAATTAGCTATTATTAGCTAATATCCATATAACCTGTATTTAAGTTCAATTTTCACATTCCTACATTATTCAATAGGTTATCATGTTAATTGGCATTGGTTCGAACCCGGTGACTTGTTATGCAATACTATGTTACTAGTTTGCTCCAGATTTTCCATACGGATGACATATAAATAAAATATTAACAGTTCATTAGTTGTTTTAAAAACTGCTCTAAAATAATATTGTGTGTGTGTGTGGATTTTCAGTTAACTTTGAGCCCCTGATTTTGTAAACAAAAGGATTAATTCACACAGGATTCGTTAGTACGTAGGTTATCTATGGGCAACATTCAGGATCACGATCTTACAGAGCATGTAAATACTTCACTGTTTTCTAATATCTGATCTCATTTATTGGATTTTCGTACATTGACATTACATGCTTTACATGTATATTGCGGCCTAAGACGACGTTTTCAAATGTAATAAGATTCTTGAGTATTCTGAATAAATAAAGAACCTAATGAAAATCATCAGCCTCTCGAATTTCAATACAAGCTCAGAGCTATAAAGAAACTTCATTCCAAACTCGGACTTCAGTATGCTTCATCCACAACATCTATGTAGTGAATACAAACAAGCAGACCTGCGAGGTGGCTTCGGATCAAATAAAAGAAATGCCTATTATAAAACCAAAGGCAATATGAAATTCTACTGCTCTCTGGCACGAAACGTCGTCTATCGCTACACTGATAAAAATAAAATAAATTTTAATGCCTATAAAACATAATAAGATTTGAGGTCTTCACGGTGGTGACTCTTAAGAACGTCATCTTCTGGAATGTGGCACCATGTAGATCTTGTGTGAACCGACTTTTCGGAGGAACGTATCGCCTTTATCTTCAGGGTAGAAAAATCNCAATGCAACTGGGTTCCTTCATTAAGAACACTTAATAACAGTGTTTCTGGTTTAACCGTTTCCATTTATTAACATATGATTTCATCAAACATTTATCAGATCTCGTTATATTAAAATAATTCATGAAGTGGTATTTACGGGCTTCCAACATCTAGAACTCGGAAAGTGTCATGGCTGCATCCGTTTTATATAATTATATAAGAATCCAATTATACTTTAATGAACTACGAATATCCATCACTTCATTATCGATAATGTTTGGTGTCTCACTCAAATTTATCTGCGTAAAATAATATCTGCGGTCTAGAGAACAGAGATTAACGGCCGAGGGGATCCGTTGCGCTGACCACGCGACACCCTCTATCCGCAAAAGTTAGCACTAACTTCGCCGACAAGCGGTTCTCCCTCAGTCGGTATAGTTCACTCGCCGACTACAGACGACAGCGTTTACAATAATATGCTTCTCTTAAACATGCTGGATGAAAATTATTCCCTATAATTACTGGAGAATTATTTATTTCGTACTTCGTTTAATATTATCTTTACTAGATGTATTTAACAGTCCATCTATTGATGAAGTAGGATATTACAACTGAATAAAGAAAGGGTTGTATCGTTTTAATATTTATGGTTTGCTTTAAATTTAGTCCAATATTAATTTCAAGTTTACTACTCATTACCGTCCCTTTTTTTATTTTTTACTTTTTCAAAGCTTTTGTGCAATATGATTTCTTGTCTAAATCAGACTAATCGGACCGCTTCTGATTTTGGAGACATAATCAGAATTTGAGTTATATATACATCAGGTGGCTGTGAATCACCGTATGTGTGCGTAACACTTTCCTGACTACATGATGTTCTGTCACATAATGGAAATATAAACATTCCCTGAGTTCCGCTTTTGCGAACTTGCCAACGAATACATGTTGCTACCCACCCAGCAATGTGTTTTGTGTTCACTCCATAGATATCGTGAATAAAGCATACATATGCGATATTATCTGCAATTTGCTAAAATGTATTTGTGTTTATTTAATGTCAAAGAATTGGGATTATGAAAGGATGATCATAACGTTATTTTTACGGATATAATGCTGATAGCTTTTCTCATCTGTAAGACCATAAAAATACAGTATTAGTTAAGGGGAGAGAAAGCCAAATCACGTACCAATTTTGCAAATCATTTCTTAATAAAATTTTCCCATGTAACATCACTGTATTAGTGGGCATACGTAGTTTCATTATTATTAAGGGATGTTCATTAATCAAGGTTTATTTGCTGAAAGAATCATGGGGCAAAACTTCAATAAAGAAATCACATGTGCATGTAAATATGACAAGTTCTCGCTCATGTCTCGGCCTAACAACTTCACCGCCGGAATAGTGACTAAAGTAGCTCTAACCTGCAATAAAATGTTGTTGGATCAAGTATAGAGTATGCTGTACGAACGGACAGTTTACTCGTCACAGTAACTGCTTTATGTTCAAAAGCCATGAAGTGCATCCGCACTTCTGGAGACACTTACGTGGCCTTGCAACAAAGCACTGGCCACAATACACACAGAGAAACAAACAACGTCGGTTGTGAAACACCATTCGAAGACGCGTCCTTTAAACTGTGAAATAAAAGCCGTTTTGTGTGACTGTTATCCAGGTCATGTTTTCTTGAAAATGAACAGGAAATGTGCTTCTAAATAGAAAGGAGACTGTAGAGAGAAATCTCTCGTAAGGCACCCTTTACAGTATTTCGTTTACTTGTGCGCTCAGTCTGAATTATTTATTATATGAAGCCAAGTAAGTTGTCCTTAACATCACAAACCCAAAGCATTGGCGGTCAGATGGTAGTAACATTTAGAGACACTTTATAGATTATATAAGCATATAATTATTATCATTATTATTATTATTATAAGGTGACTGATGGAAAATTATAGGCCTGCCTACATTCTGAAATATTATTTATATATAATTTGTAATAAATTTTAAATATTGTATCATGTGATTACAAAGAAGAGCAGTGCTCCTTGATAATTATGTGCTTTAATTTGTGATTTTAAATTGCCAGATGTCCTAGCATCCTATTTAGACATATTAGTTTTAAGGACGATGGATTTTAATAAATCATCTAAGAGAGATTTTTCTGGTAAATTTAATTTGTCTCATTTTAGTTGAAATGGATTTTGTTTACTTCACATAATATAATGTACAGAATAAAGTTACAAATATAAGACCTTGCGTATTCATATACACAGGGAAATTCTTGTCTGGAACCAAGGTTAAAGAACAAATGTGAATTTGATTTGGTTCATTCTGGTCCGTCACACTATTAAATTTACCATTAAGTTTATTTCAGTTGAATGTGACATATAGTTACTTAGTTACCTAGCATGTTTCGGTTCTTAATGAATCATCATCGGAGGTATGCCACTACGAACAGGAACCCACCAATACGTAAATGTTTTTATAAGACTATAAACTTAAAACATTTATGATGCTCACTATATGTAGTTGTTAATTTTCCATTGTCGAAATAGATGTTTGACGTAAACCTTTATAATAGGAAAATTCTTGAAGAATATTACTTAGAAGTGACGTAATTGCAATCACTTCCATAAAGGATATGTTAAAAATGTAATTTTCCACTGCACTGTATATAAAATTCAATTTGTTTCACCACAGCAGCCTTCCTTTTCGTTAAAATTATGTTATGAATGTGTGTGAAACTTATTTTTAAGTTAAGAAATTTGTTCGTGAACCACTGTGCATCGTGTTTTATCTTCCTTGGTAGTGGATATTGTCGTCTATCCCTTTTGGGATTTCTTAACTTAAAAATAAGTTTCACACACATTCATAACATAATTTTAACGAAAAGGAAGGCTGCTGTGGTGAAACAAATTGAATTTTATATACAGTGCAGTGGAAAATTACATTTTTAAAATATCCTTTATGGAAGTGATTGCAATTACGTCACTTCTAAGTAATATTCTTCAAGAATTTTCCTATTATAAAGGTTTACGTCAAACATCTATTTCGACAATGGAAAATTAACAACTACATATAGTGAGCATCATAAATGTTTTAAGTTTATAGTCTTATAAAAACATTTACGTATTGGTGGGTTCCTGTTCGTAGTGGCATACCTCCGATGATGATTCATTAAGAATCGAAACATGTTAGGTAACTAAGTGCTGAAGTGGTGAAGGCATTATATGTCACAATGGACTGAAATAAACTTAATTGTAAACAAATATAATTCCGGTGTAGTGGAGGGGACAGTGGATGTAAATATGGCTCAAATACTAGAGTATCAAGTCCCTGTGGCTTTATTTCAGCTTAAATGCAGGAATGTGTACAGAAATCGCCTATGATTTACCATAATAAAGGAAACTTCATTGTCCTTCCATTTGTTTCCTCATCAATGAACCAATTTCACTGAACGCAGATGTAAAATGAAGACTTTCCCGCGATCGCTTGGCATTCTGATAGTGAAAGTACTAGCAGTTATTCAGGTTTCTAGAAGCCCTGGTGACGTTTCGGCTACAGTGATCTTCAAGCGTCACTTCCTATACTTATTTTGCAATGAAGACTAAACTTCTAAAGAAATGTCAGAAAATCATTGCTCTAGTGTAGAAAGAAAAATTTTCCTCGTTGAAGCTCGTGTTAACAAAAATTCCGGAGCAAAATAGGTTGTTCCTTACTGTAAAAGTAGCAACATTATTTTTAAAATTACTTAGATCTGAAAGATGTACCGTGGTAAATCACAAAATTAAGTTCAGGTAAAATGTTCAGGGCTTCCATAATGAAAATATTTCACGGTCGGGAAATGCTCGTGTGCGAAGTGATCGCCATACGGTATTACTGCTCTGGTATTGTAATGATCACTAAAATAAATAGTTTTGATATTACTACTTCCGTTGTATTGTGAATGCATTTGATCGGCTGATGAAAGCCCAAATTACAACACCTATTTTTAAGAAAAGATCTACATGAAGAAAAAATTGCTTAATATCGAAAAAGAAAAATTAAATAAAAAGAGAAAATAAACGCATGTTTCAGACAACAAAATATGAAGTGTTTTTATTACAAAACTAAACAACAACCTATCCTCTACCCACCTTGTATTGTCATTTGTTGGCGTTGTTAGGGAGTAATCTATCAAGTTCACACTTACAAAGTCGCAGCGTGACACACACACACACCAAGCAGGCGTAATTATAGCGAGTTTTATCTGCCACTGTTAATTCCTTTCCATCCCTAGATTCAATTCACTCTTCCAGAAGCCGACAATCATTCAGCTTGTGAAGAGATTTTCCGTCTTTTATGGAACAGCACGATTTATCACAGCCCGACAATGGACCTTTTCCTGACAAAGATAAATCAAATTCATACCCTTACAAATTATTATCTAAATTATCATCTTTTCAAAATAGCCCAATTTCATCCATGGCCTTCCTTAGAAGTTTCTGTCACTTCTGTCAGCCGGTTTTCATTTCTTTGGATATGGTAATATTATTTTATCTTACAGAGTAAGGTCGTCAGCCTTGTGTTCAACCTCCAACTTGGAGGACTAGGTCTCTGCATTTATGTCCATGATTTATTTCAACCGTCTTCCAGTGCATACACTCATCTATCTCCTCCTCTCACTCGCACTACATGTTTCGGCACAAAAGTGCCATCTTCAGGTGCTTATTCGATTTACGCTAAACTAGTTCATTGCATGCCTTGTAGTCTTCATATTAAAATTAAAATATATATTTATCATATATATTGATAAATGTTAAATATTAAAATTGTTCAGGATTTTTCATCCCTACGTCGTATCTCACTACGCGAGTCACACCTATCCTCTTCTGTTGGAGCACTCTTTCACTATCGTGTGTGTATTGTGCATTGTGTTGTG